GGGGGGAAGAGAGAGAGCTTTTAAGGGAGGTTGTAGAGATGGGAGGGATTTGGGGGTTTGCAAGGTGGGGGTATGTTGTGTGTTCTGCATGTGTATGTGAAAGGAGGGAGAGAAGAGAGGTGATGTAATAGATATGAGTGAATGTTACATTGCACTATGAAATTTTTTAAAATTCTCAATTTATACTTTGAACAATTAAAATTGTCAAATTGCACTTTCAACGACTGTTTGGTAACATTTTTTTAAAAATTAATGTTATTTGGACATAAAATTTGACTTAATTTATTGACTTAATAATGTGGCTTTATTGGAACAATTAGATCAACACCAAATTCTAATGTTTGATGGGGTTCACAGTCAATCTAAAAGTCATAATGAATTAAGTTAACAAATTAGTTCAGTAAATTAGGCTCCAATAACATTGCTCTTTTTTAAATAAGATTGTTGGTAATCGTTTTTGTTTTCATTTTTCTATTTTTGTTTTCACTTTTTTTAAAAAATAAAAAATGACAATGCATTTGCTAACATTTCAATGTTGTTTTAGTTGTTTTTTTTCTAAAAAAAACGTTTCCAATTTAGAATGGGTTTTAATTTTGATACCCAAAAAAAAATAAAATAGTAGAATTGAAAACGAATGGATGTTTGGGCTCAATTTAATAACATCATGACAAAACACTTCTCTGCCACCGCCACCCTCGACCCACTCCTACAACAAACCTCATCACCGCCACCACCATTACTTGTCTTGAACACTTTCACCACTGTTACCCACCAAAACTACCACAAAACTTTCACTAACCATTTTTACCATAACCACCCATGACTCCATTGCCACTATCATCACTACCACCCACCACCGTCACTGCCATAACAACTACCATCAACCACCCACCACCACCCCTGGGCCAGTACCAACACCTATACTAGCACTAGCCATCGTTGCCACCACCCTCTATTAGCACGAACACTCACTGTTGTCGCCACCCTTCACCATCCTCCACCACTTATTGTCGCCACCACCATCTTGCACTGCCACCACTCACATCACTGTCATCTTGACTCTCCACCACCATCACCAACCACCTTTCATAGAACCCACCTGTTGAAACAGAAATCCCAAGAGCCGTTAATAGTGTGTATATATCGATTATCAAAAAATTTTCTTGAAAACCTTACAAGGTGGAATTAGGGTTTACCTTCAAGATCTCTCAGGATTGATCTCGTCTCAGGATGAACACAAAATCGAACAACGAGCAACTGAAGGTCAACTCGATGAACCTCACGGCCTTCTAGCGTATATCCTCTAACGTCAGAATCCAGATACAGTATAAGTTGCCATGACCTTCGAATTCCTGCTATCCCTTTTAGCCTCTCTAAAAAACGTGAGTAAAGAATAGATGCTGAATTAAAAAGTCTAGACATCTATATATAAGCTACGACAAAAACTCTAAAGAAAAATAAGGACCGGACTTCCAATGGGTTTAGAATTCCTATATTCAACCCAGAATAAACATTCTACAGCTTATTAATAATAAGTCAGTTAACTAAAAACTTATTATTGATCTCCTAAACCTTATCTCAATATTATATTCAAGCTCCTTATTATTATATACTTAATAATCTCTCCACATTTAAGATTACAGATGTCCATCAATTAAATAAATTATTGACAATTATATTTATTTGACTTCTTTTATTCCTTGAGACCTTACCACTCAACTTATTTGTTATGTCGGATAATTAAATCCACCTATAGGATTTGATATGAACAAAATTTATGAATTTTCTTAAGAGGACATCATCAACTCATTTAAATAATATGACTTGGTTTCCTTTAATAATTAATTTTCACCATACAAATAATATTATCTCCCAACTCACCGAACTTATTGACTTAATATGAATATCACTCTTTGATGAATTAAAGTGACAAACATTATATGCACGTGACAATTAAATATTTCAAGGTTAAAAGTATAAACAATCATAATAATAATGAGATATTTTATTATCTTATTGAATTAGTAAAAGATAAGAACTTTAACATGGGTCTGTTCAATAAACAAAGTGTACTAGTGTAATAATCAAAGACATTAAATAGTCTCCTATAGTCAGACAAACTAAGCCAAAATATTACACTACAATTATATTGATTGTGTGTTCAATTTCATCTAGGATTGTGAACCAATACTCATATTATACAAGAATCCGATAATCTGATTTTCTGTGCACAAGTCGAACTCTACACACCATATTATCTACAATGTAAAATATAAGACACACATGCATACTATATATTAAATAAAATGCAAATATTTTGCTCATATAAATTCTCAATAAAATGGAAAGAACAAATTTTAATTAATTAATAAAACAAATTTTACTACAAAAATAAGCTTTTAGTATACTATTCTATCACAACCTCCCTCTACCACTTGTTGCCTCAGTTACCACTCGCCACCCCTTGCCGCCACCACCTACCGTCATTGTCATTACCCACCATCCATCATCGTCACCACCACAACCCACTACTTCTTGCCACCACCACTATCGTCATGCACTATCACCTTACGACAAAAAGAAATGAAAATGAAAAAATAAAAATAGTTATCCAACAGGTTTTCAATTCCAATTTTGTTATTTCGAAAATAAAGGTAGATGTCAAACATGTTTTTGTTTTTAGTTTTTTGAAAATGAAAACATAAATAATTTTAAGTTTTAATTTTTCAAAGTAAAAACTTAAAACGTAAATAATTTTAAGTTTTCATTTTTCAAACGGAAAACAACAAACTAATTATATAAAAATGTTGCAATGTGGTCTATTTTGATTAAATTAAATATGAATTTTTCTTGTAAAATATTTAAAATTAAATAGTACAGAAATAATTGAACATAGAAATGGAAAAATATAAAGACAACAACACAAAAAAATTGTCATACAAGACATAATTTGTTGTTTTTGGACCACGTTGTTACCTGTTTGACTGATTGTGTGTACAATCTAACAATTTTGATCTTTTATGGGATAAATTAAAAAATTAAAGATATTTTAGGATATAATGTGTAATTCACCCAGTAGATATTTAGTTCAATATACATCGAACAGCGACTCTAAAAAAGGATAAATCTCATAAATATCCCTTTAAAGTCTGACTTTTATTCTACAATATCCATTTTAACGCTTATTTATCTCAATTTACTCATTAAACTATGTAATTAGTTTATACTGACACCTTCTATTAATTTTACAGGTTGAATGACACGAATTTAAACATGGGAGATTCATATGAGATGAGTCATTCAACCTCTAAAATTAATAAAATGTATTAATTGAAATTAATTACACATTAGTGAATTGGGACAAATAAAAATTTAAGAGATAATTTAAAGTTTAACGGAGGTCAATAGAGATACCGATTAGAAAAAGTGCCAGAATTTATCTTAATGATACAAGGGGTAGAATAGATATAGATTAACATTAAATAAAATAATAAAATTATTTATAAAAATATTTAATTTAAATGAGCATATAATTCATGATCAAAATTAATGATAAAAAAAGATTTATATAATCAATCCCAAATGATTAGGACATAAGATATGATTTGATTTGGATAATTTAAAATAAAAGTGACAGTTTAAGAGGCACTTATGAAATTTACAACCCCCCCCCCCCCAAAAAAAAAAAAACAAAAGTATGTTATCCGTATCGTAGTAAGTTTTACTGTATGTTCCTATTTGCTTTAACCGAAGTCTAAAAGCAAAACAAGGAGGAGGAAAGTTTTCTTCCTACAGTCTTGTTAGGTCGGGATTTTTGGGCATCTGAATTCGAGTATCGGGATTTTCTATTCTCTGTTTTTAATTTTTGATGGGTTCTACAAAATTTCTTTCTGGGTCTGCTAAATTGTGTGATTTTGGATTGATTTAGGTGGATAAAGAGGACGGCGATGGACGCGGGCGATTGGAGAAGTCAGCTGCAACCAGATACTCGACAGATGATTGTTAACAACATGTAATTTTGCTAGCCTATTACTGAGTTTTATAATCACCACTCATGTCCCTTTTTCTCTTGGGGTAATTTGGTAAGGTATCGAAAATTATTGCTTTTTAACGTCAAATTTATAATTTTATTTTTAAAAGATGTAAGTTTACGAATGAAAACAGTAATTATAACATTTTAAGATCCACCGGTCCTTTTAAAGTATGACTTATACCTCAAAACTTATAATTTGACCTTAAAAACTTGTAAATTAAGGTTATTTTAGCTAGCACATCGATGATTAACAAGGCTGTGGATCCTCTGATGTTAAAAAATTAATAGCAGTGGTGGTGTTGATCAAAACGGTGTTATTTTGATTCAAAACGGCTTGTTAAATAGAATGACTCCGGTTTGATCAACAATAATACCTCTGCTGTTAAAAAATAACAGTAGAGGAGCTGGACCCTGATTAACAATACCGTTATATCTGATGTAAGTCTGGTATTTACCCATATCTAGCTAATAGTGGTTAATATTTGAGCTAGGATAGTGATATAATTCTAAGTTTTTGTTGTAGAATGGAAAATGATAACTGTGCCAGACTTAAAATGCAGAAATAAAAAGTATTGAAGTTAGTGATGGTATGGAATGCATAAGAAAATATGGTCCAATTTTCATATGCTATGCAGATAAAATTACGGGTACATCAATATTTGTGTTCTATTTTGTCGTTAGTTGTGTAAGAATGGAGGACCATGAGGACAGAGAGACATGTTAATGGATGTTGCTTTAGGACTACAATTGGAGATTGATGCTACTTGTTCTACACACAATAATGTTAAGTGTATTTTCTAAAACATGCGCTGAGTTATCTCGCCCGTACTGATTACTTATTTCCAATTCTGATCTGATTATGGAAATAACTGGTTTATCTCTCAATAGATGCACTGTGCAAAAATCAAAGCATCTAGACCAGATTCATGGTCATCAAATATATTCATGACAGAATTAATGAGTCCAGGATAAATCTCTGGCAAGAATTCCCTACCCAGAAAAAAAAGAAGAAAAAGAAAACACACTCGAGCAAACACTTGAATGCAATATTGTGATTCCTTGGGAATTTTGGGATTGTTCCTTAACATAATGGGTGGATCTCATATTACCACTTAGAATGCAATATTGTGATTCCTCTCTGTTGTATTGTATTGACTCTTGTTGTTAGTTTATACAAATATTTTAGGTTGGGAATTTAGGGATTGTTCCTTAATATAATGGGTGGATCTCATATTACCACTTACCTCTTGGGTAGAAATATGTCATGTTTATGGAGGATACTAAACATCTACGGATTTCTGATTTTAGTCCTGTCTTGGTTTGCTTGTTGGGTTAATTCAAGGTTTTACATTTGGGAAGAAATGCCTTTTGCTTACATGAAGTGAGTGGTGGATAGAGAGTTACCGATTGGTTTGCATAGTGCATGAGTGTTTGATCAGTATATTTGATGAGATCACGAGGTTAGAACTGATACAAACATAAGGTGTTTGGTGTATCTGACAAGCTAAAATTATAGTTCAGTGAAAAAATAATGAAGAGGAGAGACATGGTCAACATGTGTGTTGATAAAGTGAGTCTAATGCTCTAGTGATTGAGGAAAGGAAGTTAGAAAGGCATCGTGAGTTATTTTGAAGACATTGTTGGAAAAGGTGTCGATAAAAAATTGTTGCTCAAGAGGTTGGACTTTCACTTGTCTAGTGATACCTTTCAAATGCTTCCACATACCAACTACATAGGAAGAAATGTTAGCAGCAATAAAAGACTTAGTGGAGATAGAGTTTCTTTATTCTAGGAGATAGAGTTTCTTTATTCTAGGATAGGTTGGATACCTTGGGATTTTTCTCTAATTCGGATGGAAGGGGTTAAAGAGACTTGCTCAAAGTTGTGATTTTGAGAAATGCTTGGGTTCTGATTCTGATTATTGTTCCTTGATTTCTGTGAAAAAGAGGGGCTATTTACACTAGTGGATGTAGGCCAATAAACCTTCTTTGAGCACTTATAAGGGTACTTCTGAAGTTTTGGCCAATGGATTATATTGGTTATTCAATGGTGGTCTCAAGACACCAGACTGCCTTTTTATAGGATAAGAAAAATATTGGATATTGTTCTCATTGCAAAAAATGGTGTGGATTCTATATTGTCCGGTGGATATCTGGAGGGAATTTGGAATCTTGATAGGGACATTCCGTTTGACCATGGAGGTTGTGGTTTTTCTTTTGTACTTGCACTATGTCTACGTCTGTTGTAGTTTTATTCAATGACACTTCTTACGAGCTTCTCTTTTCTTACTTTCTTAAAGGCCAACTCATTTTTACTGCATTTGTTTTTGGTTTTATTTATTCTTTATTGTGTATCCAGTGACCATGATTTTGAAGTAATTTGTTTGGTATGTTGTTATTTAACGCGCTTACATGCTCTCCGTAAATATCTTCTTCACGCCTGCATAGTCAATAATCAATTGAAATGATCAATTGAAATGTATTATGTAACATCTAGAATGGAGACCCTGAGGAGGCATCTTCCCTTCTCTGGACAAGAGGGACTACAAGAACTGGAGAAAATTGCAGTAAGGTTTGAGGAAAAGATTTATACTACTGCCACAAGCCAGGTTTGCATTTACACTGGTACTTGGTGGTATTTGCCTTTAATTTCAGTATTGAAACTTGATTGGCTTCCTTATTCGTGAATTTGTCGTGAGATATAAATGGCACATAATTTTTATTGTAGTCGGATTATCAGAGAATAATATCTCTTAAGATGCGGACAATGGAGACAAGATACCATAACCACATGGGCAATTCCCTGCAGTCCAACTATGCCAGTAATTGCAAAATTACCCCAGTTCCAGGTAACGGGATAAAAGTGTTATGTGCTTCATGTAAATATGTTTACATAGTGCTGACAGATTCCATTTTCCATCTCTATATCTAATCCTAATATGCATTCCCCTGTACGTAAAATGGTTTATTTCAGCAAATTAGAAATTACGCATGTCTCAATGTCATATTCACTAGTTTTTGTGAACCTTAATTAATTATTACTGTTTTGCTTCTCTTTCTCTGATATTCAAGTGACAGAGCAAATGTGATAGCTTTAATTTTGCTTGCTATATCGTGTTTTAGCACTTGGCGAAGACGGACTTATATAGCCGACCGCAAATGATTGGACATAAGGCTTGGTTTGGTTTAGTTTATTGTGTTTTAGCAGTGATCAGTGAACTTTCAAAACAAAAAGCGCAAAAAATAAAAAAAGAAGGCAGATATGGCCTATATCTTTCTAGTGAGTAATCTGCCTTTTGCTACTTAGTGAACCCCAAATTTGCATCCAACTGTTTTTCTCCATCAGGTCATTTGGCTAATTCCCAATTATTCTTTTCTGAAGAGATTTTCTTCAATCATTGCTTCCTTCCATTTTGAACTACTAGTAGCATCATGCTAACTTCGAGGATCGAGAAACACAATGCCCAACAAGATGGTCAGAGATTATGAGAAAACACAAAATTAGAGAGTGGTGGAATGGCGATGAGTGCCTTGATAGATTTCGAAAATATTTCTGGAACAAAATAGGAACGAAGACAAATTTGTTGGCGAAACACTCCTGAACATGGGTTTAAACACATTGAAACATCTCCCAACACCTCGAAACACTTCAAAACATAGGAGCTTTGATATTTATTCACTGTTTTGTTTCGTTGTGGCTGTTTTAAAACGAAATTTTAATCCTTATTTAAAACTCGAGTGACAGGACTCTTGTGAACTTCCTAGTTCAGGCATTTATAGGCGCATACTGCCTAAGATGGTGTATGTCTCTATGCTTGTTTTATATATCTTTCTTCCCCTTGCCCGCCCTTTCTGTTTTTTGTTCTAATTGTTCTTTTTCTGTGTGTGCAGATAGTAACATTGGAGATTCATCCCTCACAACTCTTACTGCTGCAACTAAGAATCTAAAGCTTTAGTTTTTCTTTTTCAAATCTATTATGTGCTTGATGTGTTGTGTATAAGAAAGTTAATCTCCACATTTTCTTCAATGAATTTTGGATTTCACATTATTATCTAAATCTTGTTTGTTTGTTGGATCTTATACTGTTTCGTTTTTGTTTCATAGATGTTTGCTCTAATTCAAAATTTCAAGTATGGTCTTGTTGAATTCATATGAGACCATGCAAAGTTTAAGAAGGTAGGTGCTGGCATGGAAGATATCCTTTGCTTTCTCTCTCTTTGACTGAAATCCGAAGATAATGCAGCTGCTCAGACTAAGAGATACCTGTCGGACTCATAGACTAGTTTTAAACGAGATTGCTCCACATAAACGGGTGATAGTCTCTCACAATCCGATAGGTGATGGTCTCTATATATACATCTCTATATGTCACTAGACAAATTTGATAAAGAAATTTTTTTTTTTCCTTTTTTGTGGGTCAAAAGTGTCTGGTCAAAGGCATGTCCTCCATGTCGGTATTAGGGTATTCATGAGAGATTTATTTTTCATGGCATAAGATTGTAACACTTGTTAATAAATTAGTGATGGTATTAACTAAAAATCTTGACCGTTGATGAATTCGATATTTGTTGTAACCAATGGTAATTAATGGCAATGAAAAATATACTAAAATTTAATTTAAAATTTAAAATATCATCATACAAGATTTTTTTTTCACACTTTCACCCTCCAACACTAAAATTATTTCATGTTTATCCTCTAGATTTAATGCTACAATCTATACCTATATCTATATCCAACTAGAAAAACTCTTTTAATTCCTCTTTTTACCTTTCAATAATTCAATAAAATTATTCCTATTTAATTGTCCCTTTTGGCCTTTTCCAATCAATAATCATTATCCTTTTGGGGAAATAATATATAATCCAAATTTACAATCAAAATTTTCATCTCAAATGAAGGGATCATTGGACAAGTGGGTTCCATCAATTTTTTTAAATGGGACATACTAATTCAATGGTTCCCTTTTATTTGGGATACAAATTTAGGTTACATAGTATTGCTCATAATTTGCTACCCTTTTTTTTTTTTTTTTTTTTTTTTTTTTTACAGTCATTAATACATTAATCACTTAAAAGATAAAATCATGAAACTGATCCAAGGGGAGGAACACGTCCTTTCAGTTTGCCATCCTCCACATTCTTCTTGGCCCTTCGGTTTCCCCATTAAGAAATTAATCACTTTACGTACCCAAAAGCCACATGAATGCTCTGTTCTATTTTGTAAGAATTACAGCAGTTATAAAAAAAAACTCAAACATATTGGACTTTTCAGGTGTAGCTGGTTCATGGGAGGGAAAAGGTTTATGCAGATAAGGTGGTTGACTACTGTTGCTTATTAGTCAAATGGTTGTGAATTAGACGTTGGGTGTTTTCCGAGAGAGGATGATGGGGGGTGAAGGCTATGTAGTGGTGGCTATAGGGTGGTGTGGGGGACGTGGGTTGGTGGCATGAAGAGACAGAGTGAGTTACGTGAGAAATATATCATGGGACAGAGAGATACAAAGAGATGTAACCAAAACTAAATCAATTTAGGGAGAAGCTGTAAATCTGAAGAGTCACTATAAGAGAGCATTAAAGTGGGAGTGAGGGAGAGGAGGAAGGTGGAAAGAGGGAAACTGGGCTGTTTTTTTATTGACTACTAAATGCGCAGGAGGGAGGGAGGGAGAGAGAGAGAGACAGAGAGAGGTATTGTTCTTTGCTGGGCAGTGAAGGCTCACGTGAGAGAGAGAGAGTTGTTGTCAACGACAGGAAAGAGAATCAACAGAGTCAATCACATTTACATTGTTAAAGGATAAAAATAAAAAATAGAATATTTTTCGGTATGTTGATATTTTAAAGTAATATAATAATATTAAAGGGAGGTTAAATGATGCAATAACACATGATTCGCAATAAAAAATTAAATAGGATTAAAATTAATTAGGGTTATAAGTAGTGTATACATATATGTTTGTGAATGTAATTAATCTTTAAAGATCATGAAATATGATAAATTTATGTATTTAATTTAAGTTAAAAGGGTATAAGGGATATAATGGACTAAACTAAATTAATTGAGGGTAAAAGAGGAAATTAAAAATGAAAAATAAAAATTCTTAAATTTTGGGCAAACTATATTATGCACCTTAAAATTTTTAAGATTATCACTTTGTACTTTCAAAAATTAAATTTTTTATATTATAATTTTAATATATTAAAAGTGTTGTACTGTGACATTTCTTTTAACTTTTCATTAGTTTTTTTTTGTTAGTGTCAATGAATTGACTTTTGACAGAAAATAACGGAAGCTAAGAGAAACTCACATTACAATATTTTTAATACATTTAAGATATAATACGAAAAATTTAATCTTTAAAGGATACAAAATAAAAATCTTAAAAACTTTAAGGGTACAAAGTGTGAAATGTCGTAAATCTTTTGGATACAAAGTCTGATTCCTTATAAAGCCGACGACATTAAAAACACTCCGACGGGAAGACCACAGTTCTTCTTCATCCTCTCTCTCTCTCTCTCTCTCTCTCTCTCTCTCTCTCACACACACACACACACACACTCACACTCACACACACACTCACACACACAGACATAGTGTTCATAGCGAGCGAGCGAGCGAGCTCAGCTGCTCGTTTTCCTTCTCGTTTGAACGGTATGAAATCCTAACAAACAAATTTCACTTCATTCGTAATTACCTAAAATTTCCATTAATATATCAATTCTTAGCGGACTTTGTTTCTTGGATTGATACAGGATTTCTTGTGAGAGCGAAATGAAGTTAGAACAGTAGAGGGCAAGCACGAATGTGGACACTTTGCGCAGAGAAAGTTTCAGAATGAAGTTACATTGCTTTGATGGGAAGTTCTTTACCCCCTCTGGTCCCTGTTCAACTTCCATCTCCAACGTACGATCCCTTTTATGGATTCTTTGATTGCTAATTTGTCAATCATGTGGTTTATTTATATGAAATCTGTTCTAATTTTCGGGTGATATGCAATTAATTGTATTGATATTCGATATGGTAAATTGTGAAGATTGATGCGATAACTCCTTTTTCGCTTATATGTTGTTGCAGAAATTTTACTTATTATATATATACTAGTAATTAACCCACAGTTAGACACTCTATATTACCAAATATCGAACATGATCACAATTTTCTTTTTTCTTTTTTTTTAATTACACAATTTAAAATTTAAGTGAACAGATAGACAAAAAAAGTGAGAGATAGTTGTGGATTAGTGAAGTTGTTTAACATTAGGGTGTGTTAGTTGAGTTGTCTGACCAAGAAAATGATGTTTTTGAGTGCAAAAAAAGTTATTTGGATGAATTTTGTACAATTGGATCAAAGTAGATGAGATTTTGATCAATCTTGACCGCTGTTGTGAATTTAACTGCTTTTATAAGTAGATAATTTAACTTTTAGTTATAATATTAGATAGATAATTTATATATTCTGCCTGTATTGTGCTTTTATGGCATATTGTTTTGATCTTTAAATGTACTGAAAAAAGTTTTCTTTTAATTTGTAGGGAAACCCATTTATGGTATCTTTTACCCAATGAAGTGAAGAGGAAACCCCTGATAGATCAATATTTAGAATTTCTATCACCATGTGAGAAAGAATATGTTTTTAGCATGCGTGGAGAGGAGCTGAGGAAACGAGCTCTGCTTGCACGTGCTTTGGTTTGCACTACCATTGCAGGATGTATGAGAATTTTCTTTTTTGATAATCATTTCATCTGAATTCTTAATTTTGTTAGTTATTAGTTTTGATCCGAAAGGTGAGCTCCCTCTTGACATCAATAAAGCTTGCAGCTAATATTCATTCTGAGTTATTATACACCCATAGCAAATCTGGTGGTTCTGAGAAAGACAACAGTTCCAGCCAAGGGATAGAATATTGAGTTTAGAGTGCCAATGTAATTGGAAATACTGTATTTGAGGCATTTCTGAAATATAATTGCAAATACTATGTTTGAGGCAATTCTGAAATCTGTAATGAGATAGCTTAAATAATGTTGTTTCTTCCTACATCAGACAAATCCTGAAGTTAATCCCAGATCCTTGAAGTTTAGGAAAAACATCCATGGAAAGCCTGAGGTTAGTTTGTTTATTACACTCTGAGATGTTAGTGGACTTTCGATCTGTTTGCTCATGAAATTTCTCGGTTTTACTTTTATATTTTTTGGAGTTGTATACCTTAAAAACACTATAGTGGATTACGTTTATAGGTAGACTGGCAGCATAGTGATGATTGGAACCCACCACCAATGAATTTCAATTTGTCACACACTTCTTCATTGATAGCCTGTGGAGTGACCCTGGATTCTCAAGTTAGTACTCCGATTGCTTACGTTGGCGACATAAAATTTCAGCTAATGTGGTACCTAAATTAACTTGTATTTTTTGGCAGTTATTCCTTGAGGTAAACTCATCTTGTTCAACTTTCTGATTATAGATTGGTATTGATGTGGAAGAAAAGCAATGGAAAACAAAGAACAATATCTTGGCTTTTGCCTGGCGATATTTCTCTCGCTATGAAGTGGAACTCTTAACTGCTATTTCAGACCTGGAGGTTCAGTGCCAGGAGTTCATAATATTATGGACCCTCAAGGTCAGCCCAGGTTCTTGGATAATTGATGCCTGTTCTGATTAAAAATTTTCTTGGCTAAAAGGCATGAAGTTTAGAGTTGTCACCGAAGAGTTTGACCTGAAAAAAAAAAAATGTGCCATTACTTGGAACGCATTTGCTGTGAAAGAATCTGCTAAAAAAGCCATGAAAGCCTCAGATAGGAGGCTGACTTTGTGGATCAAAACTTGCATTCTGAATCCTTCTTAAATTGTGCATATCTACTTTCAACTAATTTAAACATTAGCTGGCTACTTACTGGAAAAAAACAAAAGATAAGCCTGCAATGCATAATTTTTCAGGTTTAATTTACTAATATGAAACTCTGTAAATTTGTCGGGAAAGCCTTCGTATCTTTCTTATATGTTTCTCAAAGCCTTCTTTCTGAAGATAAATCGGTTCCAGGAAGCATACGTCAAAGCACTGGGAAGAGGCTTCTCAGGCTCCCCTTTCAAGATCTTTACTATTCAGTTTAGGGCTACCGTGACCGGGAACTTGCATCCTTCTGGTAATATAAAATCTAAGGTATGCCACAAAGCCTCCTTTAACTGGAATTGGATTTTGAAATACCTAATCTCCTACAACTTGTGATCTGCTATCTTTCTGATATAGTTTCTACAACTTGTGATCTGTAATGTACTTGTTTCAAGTAGCCATGTTGTGAGGTTTCAAAGAATCTAATCAGTAGGCACTTTTTTATTCTTATGCCAGTGACTATTGGTGGATCGGGCAACTGGTCTGTTCAGTTCCAGGTTGGTGTGCCTGACTTGTCATTGCCACGATAGAAGTGAAGACTTGTGAGCACTAAGGAGATGAGCTCCATTATTTGACAGCAGACAGTGGGAATGGGTTCTATTGCTTCATTGACATAAAGTGTTTAGCACTAACTCAACATTCAATGCTTCAAATTGCTTTTAACATACTTCTTTTCTGTATGTTTTAGCTTTCTTGAAATTCTTCTCTTAATATGCCAACCAATATCAAGTAAATTCCTTCCTTCTAATATACTGGTTATACTTTCAGGCCTCTGAAATAGTTGTCGAGTCTTTTGATGACCCTACCATCCTTGCAAGCAATTGGCAGTTTGCACTGTTGGAATTGCCAGGTTTTCATTATGCTGCCATTTGCACGGAAATGGATGGTACCCTTGGTGAGAATATATATCTTTCTAGCAAAGAGGAAGTATCGCTATACTAATACACTAATGCTGAAAATTGTATTTGCATTACTTGTAGGTAAATGCAAGGCTCCAACCAAAATGACGGTTTGGAAGACTATTCCGCTTCTTGAAGACAAATGCGTTTCTGGAACTGATGCAATTGTAGCAATCGGTGGCTTAACCTAATCAGTTACTGTCTTATCATATTATTGGGGATGATGACTCTGCGGTACTGGGTCTACAATATTATACTATATTCAAGCAATAGAAATGGTACAATTTTTGTGCTTAACAGAGCAATGTGCTGCTTTCAACTGTTTGTTGATTTGCATACCAATATTGTAGATAATGCGAATATTTAATGTTTATGCTATTTCTACCTTTGAATGTATCAAGTTTGCATACTTTGGGATGTAAAAGGGACCATTTGGTTTTGCCCCCAACCCTCTTGGATTCATACTTTTAATCATTGTTCAATTCGCGGATACAATTATAGATGATGTTATCGTATTGTACTTGTCATCAAGGGCAAGACTTACCGGTTACTGAAAATTAATAAAGACAGAACATGGAAAGATACAGTTGGTTAAGGTAGAAATTTACATTATTAAATCAACTTCAGCTATAGCCATTAGTGTTTTTTTCTCTAGGCTACTTTGGAAAAATGAGCATAGCAGTCCAATTTCAATTCACTTGGAGGTGGGACAATAGTCAGGTTGTGGTGTAAGGAGACAAGGGTTGTCTGATACCAGCAAGTGTGCTAGTGTGGGCATTCTGTATTGCATTTTGTGCACACTTGGCTGCTTTAGTGTAATATAGTCTAATGAAACCCATCTGTTACTCATATGAAATAGACAAAAAAAATTACTGGGTAATGGTTATGAATTTAGCCTTTCACAAATAGAATGAATTGATTAGCCAAATACGTTAAAAAACCAATTGATACGAATTCGACTATGTGTAATTCACTTCCAGCATCATTTGAATGCTATACATCCTTACAAAATTGAACTGATATCGATCAGTCAATTATGATAGAGGGTGCATATTGACTGCAATATGATGTTGGTTAAAATATGTTTAGAATAGGTCATGATCGGACATGAGTTTATTGGTTTTCTTGAGTTCTTGCGACTAGAATATGATATTAGATAAAATATGTTTCAAATATGTGTATATTCTCTTATGTGTTCTTTGTAATAAAAACTTAAACATTAATCAGGACTCTACACTTATCCATCATGCATTAAATGTCATGTCATCATTTCATCAAAGTCTTTAAAAAGGGGTGGGGACAAAGGAGAGTATCCAAAGACTACATCGATAGGTCTTCAGTGATGGGATCATGGGGCCTCTAATTGTGTTTATATCCGTGCCCGTTACTCCTCTTGAGAATGAACTTAACATGGTTATCATAGCGGTCTATCACCAAACTCCAATGTGGATTTCAAGATTTGAACCTTCAATTTTCAAAGTGAGAAATTCGGTCGATACTCCACTGGATCACCCACTTGGTGCATCAAAATTAAAACACTAATGGGTCATAAAATAATTTTGAGATTTGCTTCAACTGTAGTGATATTAGATCATAATTTGGGAATTTAATAAGGACTTCTGCCATTGATTCATTCAGTTAGTATTATATATATATTGATATAGGGTGTTCAGATTTACGATAACTATTTTAATACTGATTATCGTAATTCAAACAAATTTAGGATCCGTTCTTTAAAAAATAAAAGTGAACGATTTTTATGAGGTATAAAAATTAAAAGAAAAATATTATATATCTTAAATTTGTAACTCAAAATTTCATCTCAAATGAAAGAGATCATTGGATTAATGAGTTTCATCAATTTTTTTAAGTGAGACTCACTGATCCAATAAAATTCTTTTAATTGAGATATAAATTTGAATTATAAATTTGAGTTCTAATTAAAAAAAGTAAAGTATGAGATATTTAATTAGTTACATAACCGAGTAAGAGTTTAATACTACATTTAAAATCTTCGAATCGATAGCATTGGATTAGATCCTTAAGTGGTGAAATAAAGATTAGTTGATCTTCTGTCCCATTCCTACATAATCGGACGGTCCATAATATTTCAAAACCAAAACAACCGTAGTGAGCGATGTACTCTGTGCAACCAATAGAATGAGAGCAGTGTAGATTGCACTCCCTTTCTCTTGGATAAAACCAGACAGAAGAAAATAAGGAGCGTGAAAAACCTCTATCTTCTTCTGATCGATCTCTCTGGTCCTCCATGGAAGCTTCATCTTTCTCTACCGTTACTTCCCGCCATTTCTCTGCTACTTCACCTTCACTTCCGCTTTGCCGAAACCTCTCGAATTCAAAATTCACCAGAAAGCCAACAGGCAATTTTTCTTCTTCTTCTTCTTGGACTGGCTCGACTCACTCTGTCTTGTTCTCTTCAAGAAATTCATTCACTGTAAGTCAAGAAAAAAAGCACACAATCACAATATTATGTGTGTTTTTTTTCATCGTTTCGATTTTTTTTGTAGAGAAAGGTATGGGGAGTGATCAACTCCAAGAGCATTGTTTCGGTTAAAAGAGAAATGCGCGGCGTGGTTAGAGCTGAGATGTTCGGGCAACTCACCAGTGGACTTGAGGCAGCTTGGAACAAACTCAAAGGAGAAGGTTTTTCCTCTTTTTCTTCATTCTCAATTTTCATTTATGACGATCGTGTTAATCCTCAATCCGATTTTCTTCTATTTTTAAGCATTCTGTAGTTAAAATCTGATGTTTTATTGGTGGAGTTTTCGAGTGGTTGAGATTGAATCTATTGCTAAAGCTTTAAATGAGCAATTGGGAGTATGCTCCGTCTATGTTCGAAATTAATGGTAAATAACTAAATATTTATCATTTTGCTTAGATTTTTAGTCCGATTCCATTTTCTCTATGGCTAAAAGCATTCTCGCGTTGTTCTGCCAATTTTGAGCTTTGCCTCGAAAATGGCTGCCACGATGCATTCCAAGTAATCTAAAAAAGAACCTATAATGAATTCCACGAATAGAATACCATAGGGCTTGGGGGTGAAGCCAGAAAAGATGATATTCGTAATCAGACATAGACGATATTAACAAAAATTATGGCAGTCCATTGCACGAGACTTCTACTAGTGCGGGGCCCGGAGAGGATCAGATGTCCGCAACCATACCTCACATACTGAAAGGTTGTTTCCTTTTATAAGGCATTAATACTTTTAGCAATTAGATGAAGAGGTGAAGATTTGTTCATAACTAGTAATAGTTTTTAAAGCATGATGCTAAAATTACAGGTGTATTCATTGTCTGTTATTTGCAAATATTCTAGAATATTAGAATTTCAAGTTGCCTGTGTAACAAAAAATTGCTGGTATGCACATGGTAATTTTGTGTAGCTCACTCATGTAATACAATGATCTCAAATTTGAGGAATTATAGGATAGAGATCAGTTATGTTAAAATTGTAAAGGTAAGTTTAAAGCTGGCTCATCTCGTCTTTACCAAAGTGGTTCTCATTCTCATTCTTTATGAATAGCTGTCTTCTTCTGTGAATTTATTATGCACCAGATGTCTTGACCAAGGAGAATATCGTGGAGCCTATGAGAGACATCAGGAGAGCTCTTTTAGAAGCAGATGTAAGCGGCTCTATATTATAGGACTGTATTTTAGTGGAACACTCTGAATAATGATTACCTTTTTATGTTGACAGGTTAGCCTTCCTGTTGTGAGAAGGTTTGTCCAAGCTGTAAGTGAGCAAGCTATTGGTGTTGGCTTAATTCGAGGAGTGAGACCAGATCAGCAATTGGTTAAAGTGTGTATATTTGATAACTTACTACATAATGCAGGTTTCAATGTTTTTATCTTGCAAGTGTAACATATCACTACATATTGACCCTCACTCTTCTACTTTAGGGGCACTGAGACTAGGTATGGACTTGAAAAGTCTCTTTTCTAGACCTTAACTGGTGGTTTGGTGATTTTGGGATCTGTATGTACATCAAAAAGTCATGGATCATCATGAGTGGATACTTCTTTGATCGGTCTAGTCACACAAGTGATGTTTTTTTCTTATTTATTGTCTACTATTTTCATTTCTATATTGCTGCGAATGGCATTCCATCAAAATTTTTCCTGTTAAGCATGTGGTTGGCACTTTGCCTTTTTTTCCCTCTTGTGACCATCATAATGCATGCTTCAAATCACACTGAATTAAATTAATAAATCAAAACTAGTAAATGTTGTGTCAATTGCCAGAAGTGAATCTTTCTTGGTGTTGGAGCTGTGGTTACATGTTTACTGGTTGACGCAGATTGTTCATAATGAACTAGTGAAACTGATGGGAGGAGAGGTATCAGAACTGGTTTTTGCAAAATCTGGCCCTACTGTAATATTATTGGCTGGTCTACAAGGTGTTGGAAAGACAACTGTTAGTGCTAAGTTAGCTTTGTATCTGAAGAAACAGGTACATATTCTCGCATCTCTCTCTCTCTCTCTCTCACACACACACACAGAGTCGTATGTGTGTGTGTGTTAGTTAGCCTGCCAGTTAGTTATGCCACTATGCCTCTATAATAGTTGTATGTGTGTGTGCGTTAGTTAGCCTGCCAGTTAGTTATGCCTCTGTAATAGTGATGAAGTTGTGATATGACTTGCATCACAGGGGAAGAGTTGCATGCTGATTGCTGGAGATGTGTACAGACCGGCTGCAATTGACCAGCTTGTTATTGTGGGTGAACAGGTACCTGAATTTGCTTTCCCGAGACAATTTTTTTAAAAAAGAGCTTTCTTTTCAGTTTGTGTTATGCATTGAATGTTTTATGATGCTAAATGAAGGTGGTGCAATAATGTCGGTAGGCTTTATTAACTAAGTACCCTGGCACAAGATTTGAATTCTGAAGCACTCTTTTTTTACTTAGCTTTAATCAGTTGATGAACAAGAGGCTAATCATTTGTTTTAAGATGAGATGTAAAATATGTCTTGAGCATGGCACACTCTTTTCATTTTGTGTCAGGGAACTAAGCAAACCCGATTCTTTAGCTTTCTTTGCATATTTGTATTGTTTTACTCCTTCATGTTTATTCCAAGTGCTGTAAGAGAAAACAAATGTAAGAAACAATATAAAACAAAAGATCAGGATATCTTATGAAATTTTACTTTGATGTACAAAGAAAAGTGTAGCGCGCTTTATCTGACTTCTATGCAAAACAAGAAGATGTGTTGCCGTTATTTCTTCTGTATACTTTATGATTATTACCTTCCATTTTCTCTTCAAGTTTCATTGATAACATTCGGACAGGTGGATGTGCCTGTTTACACAGCGGGGACTGATGTTAAACCTGCAGAAATAGCTAGGCAAGGTCTGGAAGAGGCCAAAAAGAAGAAGGTAGACGTGGTCATAATGGATACAGCTGGGAGACTTCAGGTCACATCACCTATGCTGTGATAATTTGGAGATAGTTTTGATAAGTTTGTCTTTCTGGTAAAGGTAAACCTGGTTTTTTTTTCTTTTTTTTTTTTTCCACACTTTTGAATAGATAGACAAAGCAATGATGGATGAATTGAAAGAAGTGAAGCGGGCTTTGAATCCCACAGAAGTATTGCTTGTTGTGGATGCAATGACTGGCCAAGAAGCTGCAGGTATCACTCATTTGAATTTGGCAGTGCCCTATGAAACCATTCACTTGTGGTCTTCCATCATGACACTAGACTGCGACTTTTCAACAAAGCCTTGTTCTAACTATTTGGGGTCAGCTTCATGGATCTTATGCTGCCATTCTGGTCTATGAAGGGGTCATTTTTTTGCTAAATTGCAAGCTAGTATATCTTTTATACTATCTCATTTAAAGTTAATTTGGTCTACCTCTACCTTTTGTATTACAGTCAATATGTGGTGCAGTAACTTGTCTTTTACAAACATGTTCAAACCAGCGTGGTGCTACTTCTTCTGTTTCACCAATATATTCATTCTTAATTCTGTACTTTTGAGTTTTACGGTTTTACCCCTCATCTATATGAACACACTCATTTCCGACACTTAGTTTTTGAGCTTGTTGTTTTCTTCATTGTCCAACACTCTATACCATAAAGAATTGCTGCCCTAATGGCTAATAGCTTCTTGTCGAGGTTGTGTCTATTTGAGTGTAAAAAATAAATTGCTTGCTTTCTTGTTCTTCTGGTCTAATAGAGTGGGATTAAGAATGTACCTTAGAAGCACAGAATAGTTGCTCTTAAGCAAATGTTTCCGTCTTTTCTATTTGCATACCTTCCTAGGATTTTGCGTTTTGTTACTATTCAAACAATAATGCCAATTGCAAATTCCATAGTATCGCCTCTTGTGATTATCTTTGATGAACTTGCAGCCCTTGTCACTACATTTAACCTTGAAATTGGAATCACTGGTGCCATTTTGACAAAGCTTGATGGAGATTCTAGAGGTGGTGCAGCTTTGAGTGTTAAAGAGGTTGGCCTTGGTATTACCATAAACTGCTGATGTTTTATTTCAACTCCTTCTGAAAGAAATTGATGTATGATTATTGTCTATACAGTTGGAACTAACATGTCTATTATATTTCTGAAATGGACATTCCTTCAGATTTCTTCTTAAAGTAAAGCCTTGATACTTAAAAGTTTTCTAACAAATAGCCACACAGAGATTTATGCCAAAGCTCCCATGATGAGTTAGATATAAAGGAAAAGGAAAGAGAAAATAACTATGGGTTCTCATGTGCAATAGAACAATACTCTGCACAACTTTATGCTGTTCAACGGTACTGTTCATGAGGTTTTTATAAGATAAAAGGAACGTAAAATGGGCTGTGAACAGCATTTGCATTCACGTGTTACAAAGGCAAAAATCAGAAGTATTTGGTTTAGATTATCTTGCTCTCATTTCTCTGTGAGTCCATATCTTGACTTTTCATCAAAGTGCTAGCTTTTAAGAAGGGTGGTTGAGTTTATAGCCTTTGAACAAACCTCATAGCCTTTAAACAAAATGCAGTGATTTTGAAGCTGCTGGTATTGATATTCAATTAGCTGGAAACTTCAAGAGTTAGTTAGCAGACTGACATGTTTTTTTGATGAAATTGTTATCCTTCTTCATTCGTGGATCCATTGTTTAAGGAAAACAGAAGGTCATTGTTGCCCTTTTATTATAGTTTTTTGTCTAGAAATTATGAAGAGACTAACAATGGGACTTGACAGGTATCGGGAAAGCCCATCAAGCTTGTCGGACGTGGGGAGCGCATGGAAGACCTTGAACCTTTCTACCCAGATCGTATGGCAGGACGCATATTAGGGATGGGAGATGTTCTATCATTTGTGGAGAAGGCCCAAGAAATCGTGAGTGTTAATTGTATGTCGTTTTTCCTTGAAAGGATCATAGTTTAATCTGGCGTTCACATAAATCATGAGTAGATGCGCCAAGAAGATGCTGAAGAATTGCAAAAGAAGATCATGAGTGCAAAGTTTGACTTCAATGACTTCCTTTCGCAAACTCGTGCGGTTGCACGGATGGGTTCAATGTCCCGTGTCATTGGAATGATTCCTGGCATGGGGAAGGTATGAAAATCTGGGTTACCTTTCCTATGATTTCTCTTCTGCCTGTTTTTTAAAACCTATCTCTCGATCTGTTTTTGGCATTTGCTTACAAAACTAGGTATCATGTGTATGGTTACTAAAGTAATAGCTGATGAGATAGTGGCTATAGTCCAAAAGGCATTCCGTTGTTAATGTTGCATTATTAAATGCTAAAAATAGAAAAGTTGCAATTGATTCTCCTTTCTCTTTGTTATGCAAACAGGTTACTCCTTCACAAATTCGAGAAGCAGAGAAGAGCTCAAAGATAATGGAAGCAATGATTGAAGCAATGACCCCAGGTTGTTTTTCCTTTAGTTTTTAGAGAATTTATAGATCTTCAAAGAATGAACTTAAGTTAGCCTCTTTAACATCCTCTGGCATTGCTTCCCAGTCTCAAGACACACTTCCATTGTTCTGCAAGTTGGCAATCTGATTTAGGATGCAGAAGTAACCAAGGACTTATTGCAAGGCTTGATCCCATACTTTTTTGACCCCTTTCTTCTTAGGCGTGAAATTGGTTGACTCTTGACACCTTCCTGACAGGTTTGAGATGAATCTTCCGATGTAAAAGCTTATGGAAGATGCAGGATATGAAATCATTTTTTATTTTCCTTGGCATGTATTTTCCCTTCATTGTGATTGTTAAGGCAAAGAATCAGAATTATGTATATATTTCAGTTAACCGGTATCAGCAACACCACAAATTTTCCTTGCTCTTGCAAAACTAAAGCAGCATTTTACATGGGTTTACTTGGTATAAATTATGGCCATACAGCGCATTGGGATGGCTTGTGCTCTATCCTTTGCTGATCCTGATGGACTTGGCGGTTATTTTCCCATCGATATCAGAGTGTAACACAACCTGATCACCTTTTGATTTAATAAAAGCTTGCATGGACATTACATCTGAAATGTGAGGGAACTTGTTCACCATTTACTTAAGAAGTTTTCAGTCTATCTTTCATTAGTCCGTTGAATGGTTTTGCTCGTCAAACCATGTCTTATTTGCCTTTCTATTTACAGAGGAGAGGGAGAAACCAGAACTGCTAGCAGAATCCCCTGTCAGGAGAAAGCGGGTTGCTCAAGATTCTGGGAAAACAGAACAACAGGTATACTGAGTGACACAAGATATAACTTTAAACAACTGTCCCTTTATAAGTAGCGTAAAAGCAGGTGTTTCTTTTGGCCCAACAATTCATATATTCATCATCCACTTTCGAAAGAAATATAACGTGTGCCTAAAATTATAGGTTAGTCAACTTGTTGCTCAGCTTTTTCAAATGCGTGTTCGTATGAAGAACTTGATGGGTGTAATGGAAGGTGGATCTATTCCTGCACTGAGCAATCTTGAGGAGGAGCTTAAATCTGAACAGAAGGTGCCTTTGCTTGTGTTAGCATTACATTTGTATTTGCCCTTTTGTGCATACATCTTAAAAGTTTATGAATATACTACTTTCCCAGATAGTTTGAACTATGTTTTATTAAGTTGTACATGCATGTTTATTGTCATTACCCATGAACATGCATATATTCTCAAGGATGACCAACACCATGTGATTATATAAGAAATGCAATGTAGTTGCTCATCATTTTCTCATCCATTATGGTTAAGTTTGATCATTCCTGCACTCAGAACGAAACTAGTTTTATGTATGATCAAGCTGACAAAGTGAAAAATTCCCTTTTCACCACTCGTATATCAGGCTCCACCTGGAACTGCAAGGAGGAAGAGAAGATCAGAATCAAGGAAGCAATTTGCGGACTCAGCATCAGCTAGGCCAAGTCCTCGTGGTTTTGGGGCCAGGAATTAAGAAGTTTCAGACTTTATATCAACAAAAAAAAAAACACGAGGATACGATAAGGACTTGTAGCTTAATGATCGTCAGCTCTATGTCATAAATTTTGCTTGTATTCACCTCTGATCATGGAACAGAGTTTGTGCAAGTTTTTCCAACCAAGAGAATCCATCAATTTCTCGTGTCCAGAAATCGTTTCCTCAATAGTTGATGATGTAACTGAAGATGATACAGTGATATGATGCCAAATAGTTCATTATTGTTTCAATTTGTTTGTATTGTAGAAAATGTTGATGCGTGAATTTTGTTAGTCAACCATGAATTCTGTTTCGTCATTCTGTTTTATGTATGATGCTAAAGCGTATGGCCAGACACGTATATTTGGCATGTTTTATGTAGGACGCACATTTCATGGTGTTCTCTTGTTTTCTTTTTTTTTCTTCCTCTGTGGTAGGTGGGTGGAAAGGAGCAACCCGCAATGGCAGCCATCCCAGAATGTGACCTTAGTAACCCCTAGGAGGGGCCTAGACGATTGGATGGTCGCTGGCACTCCTTCAAACAGTTTTAAGTCATAGCATGACCCAGTGACCAACGAGGGTTAGGAGATTCATGGCGAGCATAGGACCACCAAAGCACCAGAATATTGCCACCGTGTCTTGATCTTCGCTACCAAGTTTCAATCCATGCTATCGAGTCTCAATCCCTGACTACCATGGGGTTAAAGGCGGGAGTAAGACCATCAACGGACTCTAATATCCCTCGATTCCATATTGCCTGCCTGACTACTTGACCTCCCAAAACTTTGAGGACTGACTGACCCCTTCCCCATTCGGTCGTACATGTCATGTTCTTTTGTATGTCATAGTTTCTATTGAAAATCTGATGGTAGAACTGTAACAGATACATAGGACTTGCCATTTAGTTCAACAATACTAGTAAGGATTAGCACAAGTGAGGAGTACAGTTCAAGTCTAAAAGCATTTAGATTATGGTTTTGAATTTTAGCACAATCACCTTATTGTCTACACAATATTAGTTTAGTACATTGTATTACTTTACTATTGTCGAATGGTTTTATCGTGGAATAGAAATAAATCACCACCTCTCTTTCCCTATGTAGAGAAAAATGGTTGTAACGGTAATACCACAACATCATTGACATGTGGTGCCCCTAACTGATAATAAAATACCAAATAGGAATGATGAATCTCACCATTCTAACATGGTAATTATTAGATATGATGGTTATTGGTAGTTATTAAAATAATGGAATCTACTAAGTCTACATATTGCATCAAAAAAATAAAACTAAGTCTACATAGGATTCTATAATTAGTTGATGACTCTATATAACATTGATAATGTGGTATCATGGTTACATTGAATATTTTATCGGGAAGAGTAAGGACTTTTTAAACATTATGAACGTAATAATGAAGTAAAATTACCAAAGAAATTGAAGCATACATGTTGCTCCAAAATCTGTTGTCGAAATTAATGTTCTAATCGACAGACAGCTTTCAGGCGATTATTTGGAATGGATTCAAATGCTTTGCTCAAGGATATCGTTGGATGAAAACAATAAAGATTTTCCCTGCCCAAAGGCGAAATTCAAAACAGAGAACTAATAAAAGAGAATTCTTTTATTAATCAATCAAAAGAACTTCAATTACAAGAGACTTAATTACAATATTAAATGCACCTAAACTATCCCAAAAACTACTCTTAATGATGTCTAGATCATGGGTATTTTGGGGGCTTGAACATGCCCCATCTTCTTCACTAAATACACTTTTTATAGCTATTTTCATTGACGGTTTTCTCTCCATCAACGGTTATCTTTTGATAATTCTCAGTTAGTTACCTCCTTGCTTTCAAATGTGATTGTGATCGATCCTCTCCCGCCTTTCTTCAACCTCTGTCACGTGGCACTTTCTTAGTAAATCTGGAATGCCAAATGTGAATATATTAAATATTTCTAGAATTTTATATTTTAGGTCCAAACAATACCACGTGATTTGCTAAGAGAAGCAGAGGCGGAGCCACCTTATGCCCACCCTCAAATTTTTTTTTTAAAATTAATTGTATATATTTTAAGTATTTTTTATAATATATTAAATTGTGTCCACCCTATTTTTTAATCAAAACCAAAAAATACATGATATATCCATGAGTTTACTTATAATTTTAACATTTATTTTAGTAATTATCACCGACATAATAGAGAATATATTTGATTGTGTAATCGAATGAATGATAAATAGTCAAGTGATAATATGATTGTAGATATAAATAATAATAAAGTTAATGCAAGATTTTTAACGTATAAAAATTCATCGAAATCAATTCTAAATAGTTTTGATTAGCCTTTTGTTTGGTAAAAGGATATATATATATTTTGTCATTTATATCTACTATATTTAGCAATTTTAGTCTTTTAAGTTTAATGAACTTTTAAGAATTAAATAGGATAGGAAGTTGCTGACACACTTGACATGTGTTTGGTTAAGTATTCTTTCTTTGCTTATATGAAAACCTCTTACATCTTCTTTTTTCACTCTCCCCCCTCCCTGCACAAAAATAGATGAAAAAGTCAAAGGAACTAAGGAAGCAATTTTAACATGAATGCAAAAAGTTTTCCGGTGAAGAAAATGGCAAGTTTAGAGGACACTTTTCTGGCTGTCGATGCAGACAGAAAATTGAATCCTGGCCGAAACAAGAATTTTGAGGTTGATCCAATATCATCGGAAATGATTACCTCATTAGAGATTAGGATAAATTTTTGGGATTTAGCTACCATCTTTTTTTTGGTGAATCAGATTTAGCTATTTTGATTACACGATGATGTGTGACAACATACGTAGATATGGAACAAGAATTTCTAAAATTCAGAACGGGATCATTTTCATTGAAAGGGAGAAGAGTTACTGTTTTAATAACCGATTGAATAGTAAAATTTTCAACAATTAACGGGTTTGGGGTCTCTTCTAGGCCATCACTAGGCTCTGTCTTTAAAAATTTGATCGTTGCACTGAATGATCATTACCGTGGCAGCATTGCCACAATAGGTACTATAACAAGTAAAATTGAGTTTGGCCTAAGACAATTTCAAAAATAAAACCACACTCACTTTCACAAACAATGAGCTCCAGGTGTTTATCCACCTAATGTTCAATTCAAGCAAAGGATATGCAACTACTAGTCCAATTACTCTTAATCCTAAATTGAACTTGAATTAGCATAAATTGAACCTGAATTAGCATAAATTGAACCTAATTACAAAACTTGCATCAATCAAACATACTTACAAAATTTGCATGAAATTGGGGACGAAGAGGAAGGAAAAGGGGGTAAGGGTAGGGGATATGTTTTTCTATGAGTATCAAAGATAGAGAGTGAAGAGTATTTTTTTTTTTTTTTG